TGGCTTGTGCTGCCGGCTCCACGAGACCCGCTGACCCCATGGGGCCTTCAGCCTGGAAAATACGTTTTCTCCCAGAGGGAAATAATAATTCAGCCAGGTGTTCATCAGTGCAAATGTCAAGGGCCTGGGCAGAGCATGGGTGGGCAGGAGCCCGGGGCTGGCCTGGCAGGGGGCTGGGGGTCCCAGAGGGAAAAAATAATTCAGCCAGGTGTTCATCAGTGCAAATGTCAAGGGCCTGGGCAGAGCATGGGTGGGCAGGAGCCCGGGGCTGGCCTGGCAGGGAGCTGTGGGTCAGGACTGAGGGGCACTGGCAGAGCGGGGAGTGGGGGGTGGGAGGAAGCCCAGGGCTGTGGGTCAGGATTGAGGGGCACTGGCAGGGCTGCCCACACGACATGGCAGAGCAGTCCCACCCCTGGCAGTGCCATACGTGGTTCAGCGGGGAGGGAGGCGGGAGGAAGCCCAGGGCTGTGGGTCAGGATTCCAGGGGTGGGGGTCAGGGTGGGGCCCAGGGCAAAGCACAGAGCTTCCGAGAAGTGTGTTCTGCCAACAGCTGCTCTGCCACCCCCACGACAGCCCTGGCCGGCCTGGCAGGTGCCCCAACTCCCCACCCCGGCGGCGGGCGCTGGGCCGCTCCGCTCAGCAGCAGGCTCTGGGGAATTGCAGCACGAGAAGAATCCGAATGTCACCGTGTTCATTGGGATTAATTCGCCGCCCCAACGGGAGCCTGCCCAGACTCGCTGCTGCCAGAGCCACTGGGGGGCAGCTGCTGAGAGGGCGGGGGCTGGGTTGCCGGCTCTGGAGACGGATCATCTCTGTGCATCCCCGGAGCAGGGAGAGGTTCCCCGGCACCTCAGCACAGTCCCCGTGGCCCAGCCAGACCCTGCCAGCAAGGGGGGTGCCCCCCTGCCACGCTCATGCCACGTGGCCAGCTGGCACCAAGTAGGACGGTCCATGTGGTGCCCTGGAGCCTGCTGGGGGCCAGAAGAGATTTTCACAGGGGGCTGAATTACCTTCCCTGCAAGGGGGGGCTAGGTTCCTGCAAGGCGTTGCTACAAGTCTGCACAGGCAGCGTGAGCCCCTCCCCAAGCTGCACCCCAGATGGACGAGACCCCCCCATGCGTCACACAGCAGCTCTGCCAGGCGAGCCCAGAGTGCCTGGCGGAGCCGAGTTGGGCCAGACTCAGTTGGAGGCCCGACTTTCCCCCAGTGATCGGCTGCACACCCAGACCCGCCCAGGGCGCCTTCTCTGAATGGCCCGGGAACCCGGATGGAAGCGGTTATGAAACACCGTTAACTCCGCCTCTTCCCCAGAGCTCTGGGCCCCTGCCGAGATGTTGGGCCCTGCAGCAGATGCAGCTGTTTACGTGCAGCTGGCTCCAGCATTAATGGGCACGTGCTCACCCATCCCCCACCACCCGCAGGTGGGCAGGGCCTGTAGCCCCATGCCACTGAGAGGGAAACTGAGGCACAAGGCAGGGAGTCCTGACTCCTGGTCCTCCCTGCTCCAGGCCCACCCAAAGCCCTGAAGTTGTGGCCTGGGCAGCCAGCTGGCCTCTGCCAGGCAAGAGACGAGGAGGCCAAATTCTTCTTCCCTGCCAGTGTGGGAAAGAGGGAAAAGGGACAAATTAAACAGAGCAGTGGGAAGGAGGCAGCCTGTGTGGAGCCACTGGGGGCTTTCTGCATGGCGGGGGAGGGGTTTACGGCCCGCACCCCGCAGCTGGGCCCCGTGTCCTTGGCCTGAGAAAGGCCAGCGAGGGGATCGCCTCAGCCTGGCCACGCAAGGCCTGAGGGGTCGGAGAGCCGCGCTCAGGTCTCGCTTCGGGAGACGGAAGCTGGGTCCGCTTTGCCGTGCAGGGCGGTGGCTTCTCTTCACCTGCGCACGCCCCATCTCAAGGAGAGATGCCCTGTGTTCTCCCCCCCGGCCTGCTCACCCCTCCCCTAGCCTGGGGCGCCCAGTCTGCATGCCCCTCCCCACCAACTGGGGCACCCAGCCTGGACACCCCTCCCCCATCCTGGGGCGCCCGGTCTGCATGCCCCTCCCCACCAACTGGGGCACCCAGCCTGGACACCCCCCCCCCATCCTGGGCCCCCCTGTCTGAATGCCCCTCCCCCAGCCTGCATACCCCTTCCTTGGCCTGGGGTGCCCAGCCTGCATGCCCCTCCCCCAGCCTGCATACCCCTTCCTGGGCCTGGGGCGCCCAGCATGCACACCCCTCCTTCAGCCTGGGGCACTCAGCCTGCTCATTCCTCCCCCCCCCCACGACCTGCACGCCCCTTCCCTGGCCTGGGGTACCCAGCTGCTCATCCCTCCCCCAGCCTGCATGTCCCTCCCTCTGTCCTGGAGCGACCAACATGTGCAACCCTCTCTCCCTCCCCTCCCATCCCCGTCCAGGGGCGCCCAGTCTGCTCACTCCTCCCTCTGGCCTGCGCACCCCTCCCCCCATCCTGGGACACCCACCCTGCAAAGCCCTCCCCGCATCCTGGGGCGCCCGGCCGCTCAAGGCTTCCTCTGCAGGAGTCACCAGCGGGTTGTGCTGGAATGGCTTCGCTCTGTTATGTAACCTGGCTTCCTCCTGGGCAGAGCCAAGCTTCCCCTGCGGGCTGCGTGAGGGGCCGGGCAGCTCCGAACTCACGTGGCTCCTGGAAAACAAAGCCCCGTGCACAAGGGAGAACAACATTGCGGCTCCCTGGGACCAGCCCAGCACACTCCACCCTGAACCCAAGGGTCCCCGTGCTGGCCAGCCAGGGCTCACGCGAT